TCTCTGTAGACCAGGCTGGCCTCGAACTCACAGAGATCCGCCTGCCTCTGCCTCCCAAGTGCTGGGATTAAAGGCGTGCGCCACCACCGCCCGGCTGAGAATTTTTTATATAACCAGCTCCATAACACCGTGATAGTGTAAAGGGACAAGTGGATGGGAGGTCCTATGGAGGAAGGGGCCGGTGTGGGGCCTGAGAGGAGGCCAGCCAGGCTAATGAGACATGTGGTTGCCATGGTCCCGAGGCCAGAGCTAGGGTGTTACTGAGGGGATGATTAAGATGTTTTAGATATGAATTGGAGAAGTAAAGGGGCATATAGGTTTGTGAAAACCCTCTCTGAGTCACATTCAGTTGTGAAGACCAAAGGCAGGGTGTGGAACCCAAGAGGTCAGTCAGGAGGAAGTATGCCCCCAGAAAGTACACAACCAGGACCCCAGGACTTGGGTGGGGCACAGAGAGAACCTAGCAAAGGAGAGGAGAGGGAAGGGTAAGAGAGATGCATGCGATCCATGGCGTAGGTGCTGGCAGGTGTGTCCTGAATGTTAGAGCAAGCATTCAGGAGTGATAGAGGCATCAGCCACGTTGAGAAGCTGGCTGAGATCCGGTCTGGAACCTGGCCCCTGAATCAGGAGGGCAGCAGGAATCCAGTGTCAGGCCTTGATAGTACGTGGGCATGAGGAGCAAACCTGAAGCTCTGGAAGATATGGCTCCTTGGCATGCTAGGCAGACTCCAGGACGCCTTGAGGACAACGTTTGCAGTTAAGGCAGAAAGAAGCAGGGACAGTCCGGGCAGTGGTGGCTCATGCCTTTAATCCCAGCACTCGGAAGGCAGAGCCAGGCGGATCTCTGTGAGTTCAAGGACAGCCTGGTCTACAGAGTGAGTTCCAGATAGGCCCCAAAACTACACAGAGAAACCCTGTCTTGAAAAAACAAACAAACAAACAAACAGGGACAAAGCAAGGTACAGGGAAAAAGAGTTTTCAAAAAGCAGAGTCACAGGCCTGCTGTGAGCTGATGGCCCCAGCCAGGAGGTAGGGGTGGGGAGTGTGAGATTGGTGCCTCATCTCCCCGAAGGGCAGAGGAGTCACAGAGTAGCTACCAGAGTCCCACAGCCTGCTGCTGTAGCAGTATGCTCAGACTGCACATTATTTCCACAGTGAAGAGTGAGAACAGCTGCCGGGGTGGTCGGGGGTCCAGAGAGAGGGGGCAGGGTTTTTGTTGACAGTCTTTAGTGATGATAACTAAAGGTGGGCAGACTGGGGTCTGGCGCTCAGTGGATGCGCCCCTGAGTATGAGGGTGCCTTGGATCGGGGAGTACAGACATGTTCTTTAGCTGTTTTTCTAGTTGAGTATTCTCTACTTTGGGGGCAGACTCCGAGCAAGTGCATAGACACATGATCAGTCTTGGGGGTCAGCCAGAAAGTGTAGGGAACAGAGAGAGGCAAGGGAGGGGGTGCATGAGAATGAGGAGAAGCTGAGGGAGCTGGAAGCCGAGGCAAGTGCATGTCTGTCTGTGTGGGTGTCATGTGGGCATGTATGTGCTGATAAAGGATGAGAACAGCATTCGAAGTTTTTTTTTTTTTTTTTTTTTTTTTTTTTTTTTTTTTGTGTGTGTGTGTGTGTATGTATGTGTGTGTCTTATAAAAGAGAATTTGAAGGGCAGAGTTGAGGGTGAGCAGCTTGGACTTGGAGGTAGTGTGGTTATTGATGATATGAGGAATGAGGCTATGATAGGGTAGGGGTGTCGCCGTGGGACTAGGACTACACACTAGGGTACTGGAGGAGTCCAGAAGGGTCTCACGATCAGAAGTCCAAGAGAGGGCTAAGACTGTGGGTGAGCCATGCTTGGAAGGATACGGGGAAGGACAGAACCTGATGTGTATGAAGAAAGGAGGTTAGAACAACACCCACCCTGGCCAGGGAGGGATGGGATACGAGGGAGAAGATGGCCTGAGGGGAGGCAAGGAAGCATTGCCGCCACGTTCAGAACACTTACAGGGAACAGCGTGCCCTATATTTCGTTTCTATTAAGGGTATGTTTACCAGGTGTAGTGGTGCGCTCTTATTCAGCCCTTGGGAGGTGGAGAAAAGAGGATTGGGAGTTCAGGATCAGCCCCAGCTGTGTGAGACACCCCCCCCCCCCCCCAATAAAGACAAACCAAAACAAACAAACAAAACAAAAAAGATAGTGTTTGCCACATGTTTGCTTTGTTAAAAAATAAAAATGAAGACTGTATTATCCAGCTTGCCTGGGATGGCAAAATGACACCGACTGGGTGGATTTGATAGCAGAAGTTTACGTCCTACAGCTCCAGAGGCTGGAGTTTCCAGCTCAGGATGCTCCTGGTGTTAGGCAGAGGTCCTCTTGTGTTCACATGACCTTCTGTGTGTAGTTGGAGGGGCTATCGAGGACTGGGGCTCTCTGATCCCACTTCTTATAAGGACACTGATACCATTAGACCAGAATGCCCCTCCCCCTTCAGGCCCCATGTAACTTTAAAGACCTCCGGATAGGATAGGCCTTATTTCTCAATAGTCCCATGTGAAGTTATGGCTTAAGTCTATTGATTCTGGATAGGGTACACAATGAAGTTCACAGCAGACATCTACCACGGACTGGGGTGGACATCGGCTGAGGGATGGGTGCTTTAAAAAGGATTGTCAGGTGGATTAGGGAGGGAGAGGGGGAAAGAAGCAGAGTGCACTTCTGCCTGAGTCTGATACTACTGCAGAGTGCCCTGTAGGGCTAGGGCACATCAAGTGACTGGGCAACGTGTAGACAGACACCCGGAATGAACATGGCGCTAACAGTCTTTGAGTCTTCATAACAGCATTTTTACGTCTCTGGTCCCATCATACATCCGGCATCATGACATCCCCAAACCCATGAGGACAGAGGAGTGAATAAACTTTGTTTTGGGAAAACGTCAATTCCTTCTTGGAATTTCTCTCCCCACTTCACCTCTTCAATACTTCTTCCAAAGCTTGCCAGTAAGACAGGATATCCAAAGTCACAGCCATAGATTTTTCTTTAGAAGCTTGCACACATTCACTTGCACACATACTTCCTCTTTGCAATGCTTTCTCCTAATTCTTTACTTTGTCTCATCTCTGAAATCTTTCTTGGATGGTGCCAAGAGTTGGAAAACACTTGGTTGAGACCATGTGGCTACTGGGCACTGTGCTGCAAGTACCAGATACTCATTTCAAAGCCTTGCTGTGGGAAGCTCATTAACATTGCTAAACGCTAGTTACACATTGGATGGTGTTTATATCTATTGGGTTAAGCAAATGTGCTGCTAAAATTAATTTTGTCTATTAGTTGTTACCTTTGAAAAGTACATCTACAGCCGGCAAGATGGCGCAGTGGGTAAGAGCACTTGCCGCGAAACTAAATAAAAATTTAAAGAATGAACCCACCAGGAGAACTCTCATTGCAGAAGGGTTCTGGCATGTCTGTAGCACTGTTTCTTTAAGGTGGATGCCTTTCCTAAGGCGAAGATGCAGCAGTCCCATTGGACAGGGCTTTCTGGTGGCCTAGACTAGCTAGGACAGCTCAGCTCACTATTTGTTCTGTCCCAGGATCAACTGACTCTGCCTCGGAGAAATTTCTTGATTCCTTCTACATTTAGGACTGACTCTACTCTTCCAACCAGCATACCTCCCATCCACCCCAGCTCTCTATGGTGGTTAAAATTCCCGACTGACTACAACCTCAACTCCGGGAACTGTCCCTGGGTGTGGCATATGGACTGCAGTTGGCTGTCTCAGCACCTACTCTGAATTTTCTTTCCCCCTCCCTTCTTCCCTCCCTCCCCGCCCCGCTTTCTTTTTTTGATATGGTCTCAAGCTATAGCCCAGGCTGGCCTCGAACTCACAGCAATCCTGCCACAGCCTCTTAGTGCTGGGATTACAGGAGTACACCAATACACTTGTTTCTTAAAACGATTTTTAATTTTTCTGTTTCTGGATGCCAACAGCTTTCTGTCTTGTAAGCAAAGTCCTACATAAGGAACTGGGTGGACGTGTTAGGAAATTGCAAAATCCCATACACTTAATCTGCAGACCCACTCTTTGCAGACCCAGAGCTGGGGCTGAAGGAGGCTCCTCCCCAATTCTCCAAGACCTTGCTCCCTCCCACGATCCACCAACGTCCGATTCACCGTATCCGCCAAGAGCCCGGACCCCGGCTGGAGTCGCGTTCTCCATTCGGGCAAGGACCGAGGTTTCCGGAGCTCCAATGCTCCCAACTAGAGCGGGTAGAAGAGCGCGGGCTACAGGTTCCCCAGCTCGCGGCTCCTTTAAGAGGTGCCTTGGTAGCAGGGTCGTGACGTCATGGGAGTGGAGGCTGGAATATGCGCGTAACAGCGGCAGGGCGGGGCAAAGCCTGGGGAGGACCCTGAGACCTGACTGACAGGAATGCCCCATAGGCCTCGCCTCTTCTCTCTCTGGTGTTGGCTCCGCCCCACCCTAGGCCTAGCTCCTGTAGGCAGACCCCGCCCCTGCACAGGCCACGCCCTCTCAGTCTGGCTCGGGCTCGAGGCCCCGCCCTTCCAGTTGACCCAGAGCCGGAGAGCCGAGGCCCCAAGCCCGTAGGCTGCCCGCAGGCCCCGCCCCATCCATAGGCCCCGCCCTCGGCGCGACCACCAGCCCCGCCTCCTACGGTCCCACCCTCTGTGGGGCGGGACTTGCCCCAGCCGGAGTCGGCGGCGGCGGCTGCGGGAACTTTCCCGGCGGGTCTAATGGCTGCGCGCGGGCCGCTGTGAGGCGCG